GCTCTTCCTGGCTGAGGCAGATCAGTCACCGGCTTCTGGACGGCCGCTCACTGCGGCTGCTGGCCGCTCACGCTGGCTGCTGGCTACGTACAGTAGCCCATGGAAACGCACTGCAGCAGGGGTTGCAGCCTACGCCGCCGCCAGCGACTCAGGGCAGCCCAGCTCCAGGTTGAGCTGTTGTTCAGCATCTTAGCTGTAGAGGGCAGTGTCACTGGCCCTCTTATGTGGGATCCGAACCCGGGGCCCTCTGGCGTCCCAAGCCAGTTCTTAGCCACCGCGCCACTCGGCTGGCCCTGGAAATTGTCCTTTTAAACAAACTGTCATTTTTGCTGTTGAAAATTGTAGAGCATGTGATTTGTGTGGTGGATCAATTCACCTTCTCTAGAACATAGCCAATGAAGACAGCAGTTTCTGTCTACAAGGCTGGTATAGTCTGGTCCCTTGCTGATAGGCATTATGCTGGGCTCCTCCCCCTGTGGAGCTTAGCTTAATGGAGCTGACAGACTAACATGAGTATCATCAAAAAGCAGTGAGGGCTAGGATGGAAAAGTAGCAAGTGTTATAAGAGCATGAAATGTCTCGTTTAGAGTGGAGTGATGGTTCTTTAGCGAAGTCCTCTGAGGAAGTCATTTAAGCTGAGACTAAAGATGAGCAACAGAGCAGAGGAGAGATGTGCACTCCCAGCTGAGGGAGCAGCTTGTGCAACGGTCCTGAGTTGGGAAAGTGCTTTTATTTTATTTCTAATCTAAGCCTTGTGCTAATCAATGATGACTTATTCAGTGTCTGAACTGTTAGGGTAAGACAGTCACAGTCACAATATCTGGGATAGAGCTAGCCTAAGTGTATTAGTAGGGAAATGGTTTAATAAACGGATATCTTTATCGAAGGGAGTACCGGAGTGTGGTCAGTCTGTACACGTGGGCATGAAAGGAGGCCCATCACCTGCTGGGCAGGGGTGGGGGTGGGGGCTCAAGATTCAGAGTTGTTAATTATATGTATCGTGTGATCCTTGTTGCTTTTAAGTAAACAAAAGTGCCGTGTGTGTGTGTGTGTGTGTGTGTGTGTGTGTGTGTGTGTGTGTGTGTTTGGATGTACATAATTTCTATCTTGAAGGTTATATCAGACTTTTAGAGCAGTTTTCTCTTGGTGGTAGTGGTAGAAGACAGACTTCAAAATTGTACTGTTGGAAGTTTTTTTTTAATACTACTTTTGTAAAAAATAAATGCAGCTCCTCCTGGTCTTGAGTCCTTATCTCCTCTTTGGCCAGGGACATATTTAGGTAGAATTAAAACTAAAATTGGAGATCTTAATCCTCGTTATACAGTCAGGGTCC